TATAAAAAACATATGAGAAACGACGAATCCTCTCGGTAATGAAACGAGCGAGTAGGTAACTGAGTTGTGACAATTAATTTTTATTTTGTGATAAACAGGTTGACAATAAATTAAATCTTTAGGGTTGTGTGTTGGCAGAATAAACTAACCTCATTATCTGAATGAGTACACCAGTTGATTTACCTGTAACTCACAGCTCACAGTCCTACTTCTCAAGTGCCGAAATATCAATCTGATGCTCACATGTTCAGCTGCTGGATATTAGAACCAGTCTTCATCCTAGCAGTTCTGAATTCAATTTTTTATGTACTGAAACTATATATTCGTCAATCCTCTCTTTTTCTTTATCTGACAATCCTCTGTCAACCTTTCTGGAATTATAATCAACGATTCTCAAACTGAGTTTACCAATCTGAAATGAACCAACCAGCTTTGAAATCGTATAAACGTTTTCCATAATTGAATACTTACCAATTCCGAATTAGAAGTTGAAAAGGTATAGATACGCCACTGAAAACTCGTATACTAATACCTGATGAGCTCTGATAATGATTTTCAAATAATTGATCACACAATATACCCCACATAATATTTTTACCATATAATTTACTGTAAAACATACGTTTCATCCAATTACCTGGAATAAACAATTCATAACAATGGTTGACAGCCAATCATTATTTCATTTTGATACAATTTCCTACTGAAAATATCAAGATTGTATCTTGCAGGCACGTTTCAGGCAACATGGTTGAAACTGAAAATGCAGATGTGCGTATCATAAAAACACAATTCAAGATTGGACAGTTTTTGGCCCACACACCAGTGAAGACCACTCCCGTGGACAAGTGCGGAAGAGTCAAAACTGTTTACCTTCATATACTATTCCTGGTTATAATCATCATCTTCATTGGCACACTGTACCATCGTTACGGTAACTACGTACATATATCTTTTCTGGAAGTGACACTAGATGTTTCCAACCTCTTGAGCAAGTTCATACTAGTATTTGGTTGCTTTTATGGGAACTGGAGAAAATATGACAAGAGCTGGAACAAGTTTTTTGAATCACTGGATTTAATAGAAGCAGGGCTGAAGGAAGAACACTTCTTGATCAGGACACGATTGAAATTGTTTTGGCTCGAAATAGCTGCTTACCATACCATCCTGGTAATATTGTTGGTAACTGAGATGAATGTGTTACTGGTCACAACAGAAAACAAATATGATATTATATTCAACCTATCTGTCAAGATTGCCCTATACTATCAATTTTTCGAACTCATATTCATTTCCAATCTAACAAAATTAATAAGAAGGAGATATAATTTCCTGAGCAAAATGATACTTTCGATTTCTCGAGATGAGTCACGCTTATTTTATACAGCACAAAATGGATCTATAGACAGGAAGTTGAAGAAAGTTTTTTCGCTGTACCAGACATTGCATATTCTGGTTGTCCAGGTGAATGTTATCCATGGTTGGCAAATCTTGTTCATTTTGATCAGCACAGTTTTGACGTTACTGAATTGTACGAACACAGTACTCGTTATTGGGGATTTATTCCGAAACAATACCAGTATTATGGATATTTATGTTGTCTACCTGATTCTGTATCCTATAATTTATATTGTAAGTAATGACTGATGATGGAATATGGGAAATTTACCTATTATTATTAGATTATTAGATTATTAGAAATGCGTAGAACGGGCGTGCGATATGTTTTTTCATTTCAGTTTTAGTTATAGCCCGAAATTGAGCTGATTTCGAGTTATTTCTTTCAGAAGTTCTTTATCAATGAATTGACATCAATATGATTAGCATATTTTCGATTTCTGGATCGTAATTTTCTGGACTTCACTGGTTTTAAAAATATGCTTATTCAGTGGAGTACCAAATTTTTACATTTAGAGGGTCCCCAGCAAACATTTTGATATAGGACATTGATGGCCTAATATATTTTCCCCATACCTGACATCAGCGGCGTAGTAAATGGTCTCATATGCGGGACTCTGTATATCAGTACACTGCGGCCGGCAGCTGGTCCCAGAGCTATAGGCACCCAGCAATCACATTCAGTTCCCCGGCATGAGGCCAGTACAACAAACTCGACACATTGAGTGTCCCATAGCAAGCCCAGCATATACATAAATGATGGGACTGTAATGGCCAATTATCGACATTGGTTACATACTATCGAGGTAGGGGATTTAGGGGTCCAATGAATCTAATGAGACTCTCTCTTCTCCTATGATGAAACTTCTCAGAGTGACTGCTTACTGGCTGGTATACATGGTAACTACATCTACATCTCATATTATATAGGCATAGATCTAAATTTAGATCTATGATATAGGGTAGTATCCCTTCGAAATTGATTCTTTGTTGCGAGGTACTCCTGAAATATATGATTCATCATCAGTTATTATCAGTGGCCTTTCTCGATATCTATCCAAAATAAGTGAAATATTCATTAGTGGATTCATATATGAGGTAATTTCTGAAATTCACACATGCTTCGCTAAGACTCTAAAAAATTGAGGTGCTTTCTGCATTATTTTATTCAGGACATACCACTGTTTCTGCAAATCTTCTAAAAAACGGGTCTTGAAAGCTTTTGATTGAGCATTGGGCTCTTGTTGTTGTTATAATGTGAGGTTATAATGGATAGGAAGAAATAATTATACTTCCTAAAGAGATAATTATGGATTCATACGAAGTATTTTCAATGAGAGATCTCATCATATTTTTTATGAAAATAAATATTTGGTTCATTGTAAATATAAACGTGGCGAATTGTTTCAATTTTCTCGAATTTGAAGTAGATACGTTGAAGATGATGAATTTCTCATTCAATATATCATTAGTATTGATACTGAAACCAAACAATAAACAGAAAAAATCTGGGAACCGACGTCTGTCAAGCTTCACAAGTAAACCGTGACGTCATAATAAAGTTACCGTGACGTCATCATAAAGTTAACCTGGTTTGTCTGGTTAGGTTCCAGCAAAAATGACTCTAAGAAGATAAACTCCAAGTCCTCTTCTACCTTCAATAACCCCACCCCAATTCAATTTCTTCTAGGGAATTATGGACTATAAAAGCCAATTGTTGCCAAATAATCCCATCAAATATTCGAAGAGCCGAATGTGTATACCACATCCTGAACCATTTCTTTGAAAATATATTATGTATTGACAAAAATATTCATGAGAATTCACGACTTTCTTGGTACAATCCAGCTTTCGAGCATAATTTCATGTACATGGTTTTATTAACTGATTACAACATTGAAGGCAGCAAATCGAAAAAGTATATGCTACCATGCTTCAGTCATTTGTATCATTTATGTTTCAGGTTTCTACTATAGCTTTGATAATGTCATGCGATAGCGTGGAGAGAAGTGGTGAGATGGTGATAAATACGTGCTATAGACGTACTTCTTCATTGGAGCACTGCCAGTTGCGAAATGATTTGATTCGGGTTGCGAAATACATGGAGCACCTGAAGCCGACGCTGTCAGCAGCCGGTTTTTTCCAGATCAATCAGAGGATATTAGCTACCATGTTTACTTCTGTGATTACGTACATTCTGATTATAATACAGTTCAACTAACAAAATTATCCCAGCACTCATTAATAAATTCATTATAATCATAATTTCTGCTTTAGAAAAATAAGCTGTAGGTATTGATAGAAATAAGGTGAACTCTGTATATTATGTATTAAGTTGTTGCAATACATTATATTCAAATAACTCTCCAATACCTGAGTATTTTGATGAATTTCATTTCCAATTGCCCATTAAATAAAAAGAAGTTACTGGATTTTCATTTTATCTGAATGCCAGCTATATTGGATCCTGCGTGAATGGAGTTCAATTATTCAAATTCCAATTTTTTGGACCTATATACCTAAATACAAGGTGTTTCAAAATGTCATGTAAATATTGGAGGAGGTAATCGTGGGTTATTTCATGACTAAAAGTTCCTGAACAGGGTGAGGTTGTGTACCTAGCTTCCTGAGGGTGATTGTACATTGAATAATAAATGGAGTTTGAATAATAAACTAATATCCCAAAGTGTATATTTCGAAAGATACTATATCCTTCCAAAGTTGATTGAATTGAAATAATTTTCCCGTTTAACTTCTAATCGGTAGAAGCCGTCAGATTGAAATATCTTTCATATATACATGTATGTTGATAAAATAAATTTTTCACATATTCTTCAATTCTGATATTGTTATGTAAAAGGTCGTTTCAGAGTGTGAGACAATTTTCGAGATGTTGAGTTTTTGAAGTCACATGATATAATCAGCAGATTAATTCATCGGTTACAATATCTTAGGAAGTCTTGATCAATTTTGTTCTTAATTTGGACGTTTATGACATAAACATTGTTATTGTTGATTTACTTCTTAAGTTTCCTTGCTCAAACTCATGATCACAGAAACTTCCTCCATCCTTTTGCTCCATTTTGTTCGCATAATGTATAACAAATACTTTTGAAAAATAAAAATTCTTATCGTTTGCTGAAAATAACATTCACAAGAAACGGAAAATAAAGTTTCAAAAATGTCCATGAATATAGCATGTTTTCCCGTAGTTTTTAACGTCATCGCAACGTCAAATAATGACCTTGGCGACCACGAATATATTTCTGGACACTTGGTATCTCGAGATGAGCTAACTAAGCGATGTTAACATTTTGGTCCCACTCCAATACAATATTGTGCCAGCATTAATATTTTCAAAGATTTGGTGCCTCTGGTAACCACCGGTATTGCACATCAGTTTACTTGAAAAAATTGATAAAATATTAGGAGGCAACTTGAGTTGTCAACCCTGAATAAAACACAATGATATACAACTATCAGATCGACGACATTCACAATTGAATGTCTCAAGTTCTTGTTTGTTCTATGATAAAGCAATCCCTGTTCAAATTTTACATGAAAAATGAAAAAAAATGGCCATGGCTCCATTCTGATTCACTTGTACTTCCTTACCCGATATGTGCATCTATATACTTTTCTACTCTCTGTGAACTAGTGATGCAACATGGACATGGACGTTCCACCAATGAAATTCAAGGTGACAAAAGTTGAGGATGATCCAAAAATCATCAGGCAATCCAGTAAGTACAATTTTTGTATGCGTATATCCATGAGATCCAATCTTATTGACATATTATTGTATTGCATTCAGTTTCAGGAGATGCTGATTTTGAAACCGCCATATCAGCGGCAGGTTTCGGTAAATTCAATTTCCTCTTGTGTTTGTGTCTAATACCATCCGCTTGGTCTCAACTTTTTGAAGCACAGACTCTAGCTTTTGTACTACCAATAGCCGAATGTGACTTGGATCTCACTCTGGAACAGAAAGGAATACTAAATTCAGCATGTTTCGCTGGTGGGTAAATAAATCACAAGAATATATTTTTATTATAATATGTATTTATGTTTATCAGGTAAGGAAAGTAAGCGTTTGTGGACGGCAGCTTATGGGTAATAATTCAAGCAAAGTAAACCCATTAACGCTCACCGTATTCATACGCAAATCATCAGTATATATACATTTAATTTGAGATAATTTTCTTGCGAACAAAGTTAATCAATACGATCCCTCATCATAAACATGATAATGGGAAGTTATTGCTGAATACGATGTTGTGGAAATATTCAGTGTTCACAAGAAGTTTCATTAGAATAATATTGATCTATGGGTCTCAATCAAAATTGAGCAGAATAAGATGAGCTTTTATTTCATGAAATACGCTATTGTTGTTTTTTACCCGAGGCAAAGTGAATATTCCCTTGTATTAGATTCATGATGTCATTATGTCGTTTTTTTATAAGAAAATTTGCTATAAATGATATATCATAAGATGCGAATAAGCGAATAGTGGAGGTGAAATAGGAAATCAGAATTATTGTCACGCATTTGGCTTGATTCGAAAGCTAAATTTGAAATTCGAAAAGCATGCAGGGTTTTGCGAAATTCAATCATCAGAGCTTCATTCGTTCACTTTTTCATGAGTGAACTTGTTCTATTCCACACTGAGAATATTTGAAAAAGTCCCACCAACTGGATTTGGAAATTTCCAAATATTTTCATTAACAAGAAAGTTACAGGGAGGAACTTCATGGTGGATCACCTTGATGTATTTATACATTTATATTTGAAACACTCTAATACTGAATTTGAATGCGAAGTTCAACCGTTCTCGAGTAGTTGCGAATAAAAAACAATTTTTCATCATAAAATCACGATGGATATGACATTTTAGTCTATGTATCGAGTGTTATTGATGCCGGGTGAATTTCGTAACATCTGCATATCAGCATTGCTCCATGAAATTGTCAAAACTATTGATCCATTCTGTATATTTTGATAAGTTTATCACAGCGATTGGTAAATTTGTTTTCGTTTCCAAGAATCAATTATCAAATAACTTTGAAAAAAAGTCACACTGTTCTGAAGATGAAGGTGGTTTTGTTTTGGAAATTCGACAAATTCTTGCCTCTTTTTCGTTTTCCATGAATTTTCCAACATCATGAAATAACTGCCTTTCCTCTAGAAAAGCCGATCTCACTGTGCCCAACATAAGCTTGTCAGGAGTAACCATACCTTTGAAGACATCCTTATCGATGCTTGGTATCACTATCAGCAATAACCTTTCTTGGGAAAATCACGTGAGATCAATTGCTAGAAGTGCATCCCAAAAACTTGGTTTTCTATTTCGGGCCAGGAGCTATTTCACTTTTTCAGCTGCTTATGATCTATAAAGCGCAGATCCGACCTGTCCTGGAATACTGTTCCCATATTTGGAGTGCAGCACCCAAACATACCCTGAAACTCTTGGATTCTGTCCAAAAAAGGTCAATTCGTCTCGTGGGTGATGCCTCGCTCACAAACTAACTCACTTTTCTGGAACACCGAAGAAAAGTTGGCAATCTGGCTCTATTTTATAGATATTCTCATGGACGATGCTCTTCTGAAATATCAACAATTGTTCCTCCCTTGGCAGTCCCCGCGAGATTAACCCGTCGTGTTGAGGCTTCAAGGTCACTTTGGAGACCTGCAGAACATCTCTTCCCAAAGACTCGTTCATCCAACGAACAATGAGGCTCTGTAACACATTTCCAAGGGAGGTGTTCCTGAAAATAACAGGATATCCCTTTTCGTGGAAACCAGAACATAAAAAGAACTACCTTTCCATAAATATATCTCTCAAATGAGTTATCTAATATCTGATCCCGGGCAATTCATCAGGTACTAATTAGAGTGCTCGAAATTATCAATTTTCACTAGGTGAATATTGTCTATAGGTAATTGTTCGTTTGACAATCGGTAAAAAATAAATGTTCTATTAAATATCAATAACTAAAAAATAACTTATTACCTCAAAATATCATCATTGGAACTAGAAGCATTCCTAAATTAGGACTATAAATGTTTTGAATGTATTCCTGATCCTAATCCAAATATCATAATCTGTTCGCTACATAATTCCTGGTGTTCCATTTCCATATCAAAATCGTTATTCGACTTCGATCCCTTGGATGCTGAAGAGTTTCTCAATTACTTATTTGAAAGAACTTGACTCTAATGATGATGAGACTGTTCAAAATTAAGTCAGCTTAGCTAAAGTACTTTTCTCTACAGAAGACGAGAAAGATGTGATCAGGACGTTGAAGAAGGTCTACTCAATATTCGTGATATTTGCAAGGGTGTGCTGGCCCTTATTTCGATTTTATTTGAATAGTCCAGTTGTGAACATGTTGCATTCTTATCGGATATGTATTTGTCGAACGATGCCATGCCATTGTTGGATTTCCAAAGATCACTTTATCGACAAAAACGGAACTCAATGGCGATGCGCTGAATGTGGAGAATATTGAATGTGTGCCTGGACTGCCTGAAATGCATTGTTGGCCTCCATCTTTCACAGGACACACACCAGAAATTTCGAAAAAAGTCCTAATGACGTTTGTTTGGATGGCAAAGATCACTCGATTGACAAAATAGTTATTTGTGTATCAAGGGCGTGAAGAAGGCGTTTATGACCTGCGGCGTGAATAGTGGCCTGATGGCGTTAGCCGAGGGCCATTACACGCCGAACGCTATAAACGCATTTTACGCACGTGATAGGTACAAAATTTCATGCACTAGTGCTCGCTACGCTCGGCTATGAATCCAGCCTCGGCAGTTAATCTACTACTTTGCTGCCTAGTTAAACAAATAACTATTCTCACGGCACTTTGCCAACACCACATACATTTCCATGGAGAATCAACAAAAACCGACCAAAACTTGGCTGCTGTTCAGTTTTGAATAGTTGTCACAACTGTAAGAGAAAGTTTTTGAAATTCTTTAGGGTAGTTCTCATTAGTGCTTTTGATAGAAATCGCATTTTCCATCAAATATTGTTCCAACAATTCATAATCAATAATATGATGTCTATACCGAGATGTGACGATTCTGATAAATACACCGCCAGAGACAGAGATGATGAAAAAAGCTGCGAAAGTTTGATTTGTTTCCGGAAATTTTAGGAAAAAAGTATGAATTGGCATATTGATACAAAAAATTTATGACATCTAAGGCGTCTACTCTTTGGTCACAATATTCAATGTGGCATAGTGCCACATTATAAAATGAATACGAATAAGTTACATTACTTGGATTCTTTGAAAAGTGCAGTTGTAGAAAAAGTATAGTGTGCAACATGTAGGGAAGAGCAATTTTCCCACTTGTTTCACAATATACTATTTTCACAAATGGGTGTGTGGATATAGAGGACTAGAGAACAGCAGGCGGTATAGTGCACTTTATGACCTGTGGGCGGTAATTGGCCCGCGGGCGGTAAAGTACCACTTCACACCCGCTAGTGCATAAAAGAAACTCAACGAAGATGCGCCAAATCTGGTTCTGTGGGCCTGGAATGCAATGTCGGCCTTTATCCAGGATGATTTTTTTGCTGCTATACTTTCATATTTTATACACATTCTCAATAAAATTGCATGAAATTGTTATCAATTCTTATTTCATGCCTTCCTTTTCCAGCGTATGATATACAGGGTGGCATTGAAATAAGTGCAAATATTTCAAACACTGAGAAAGCTCGACGTGTACTATCGAATGGCACTTATTAAAAAAATTTTTGTATCAAAATAAAATTTGAGGTTAGACCCCTTCTTCCACCCAAAGTTCTACACTGTAGCAAATCTGACGTCATCTCTGTTCAATTTTCGTACTTGATTTTTTTCTCGTTTTTTGTGCAATTTTTGGTATGAAATTTCTCTTTAATTAGGAGGAATAGAAAAAATCTGATATCATGGGAATATTCCTTAGACTGTATCATATTAATGAGCTGAATACGTGCACTTATTTCAAAAACACCTTGTATAATACATCAAATAAATGCTACTCCAATGTGACAAATGAAAAATCGAGAACTTCCACCACCAAAACAAAGGTTCGGGAACTCCGCATTCCGAAACGAAATATTGTTAAAATATACAAGGAATAATAATTTTTGGCGTTAATGGGTTTACCACGTCCATAAACGTTACTATGATGATCAAATTATACTCAATACCAAAAATTACTGAAAAAAAAGGTGAATTTCTCCAACGCCTGTTCAGCTACTTTTACCCTCGCCTGCTCTACCCATTTGTCGCCCTAGGGCGCTGAAGTGATTATTTACGTCCGTATATGCAGATTCATTCCAAATATCTAATATGCGGGTTCTGGTTCCTTCTTCTTTTAATTTTGACATGCAGTTTGACACTTCCTAATGCTGACGTAAGTTTTGAAACGTCGTACTTTACGTGACCAGTTGCTTCAGTCGTCCCGCAATATCCCGCTTATCGTCACACATAATGCAGAATGACGCGTTTTCTAACTGGTTACCTAAATATCCATTACGTAAAGTATTGTATTATGTATTATTTTCGATGCATATTTAATACGGTGATATCAAATAAGGCATATATTATTCCATATATATATTATTCTATATTTGGATAAGGATTATCATTTCACGACTTCAAACAAGCTGTCAGATGGTCAACATCACACAAGTTCTTGTTTGCTATACCTAGATTACCGAGCTTTAATAGTACGTGAATTGATGCTGATGAAATAATGATGAAACGATGATAATGCCAAATAACGATTTCTTACATGCCTGATAAGTGAGGGCAGATGAGTTGACCTATATCCTACATTCCAAACTATTTACTGTCACTTTCATTGCAAATAAAACAATGTAATCTTCATATCATATCACAACTTCGTATTTGTTGATTTTCTGTTTAAACCAGGAAATGGAATCACTGATATATTCGTGAAACATCATGATGCGTACCTGAATGGGGGTATTGAGAAAAAAGTATTTAACCATTGGAATTTTTCTGAACTTTCGGTGGTTGAGTGCATACTAAGGAACACTTTCTCAGGCGGAGAAATCCAAAGATTAATCGTTCTATGAACAGTATCGAGTTATAGTAGAGAGTTTTGTTGTATAAATTCCAATGTTGGAAACGTAAAAATGTACTGACAGAGCTTATCGAGTTTGCATGGTTGGTATTGCTAGTGGTGGAGAGATACACCGACTTATTACTCTATCTATATTGTTAGTAGTCATATCGCAGCAACCCGAAAATGTAGGGTTAGTTGCTCGCCTGAAAACGCTTCTGCTCAATACGCAGGAACTCCCAAGCTGTCTTTCATGTCTGTGACGTGGTATCGAAATCAACCTAGCATCCATTTTGTTCATGGGTGGCGGCAAGGTACATGGCGTTGGTTTAAGTGTTTGTTTTGTAATCCTAGGAAATATGGTGTAAGAATTCTACGATTAATAATAGAAAGATGTTTCTTTTCATCGGTGAAATTGTGAGTAATAAATAATTCATTATTTCAATTTGCTTTCATCAGTTTAGCAGGTATTTGAATGAAATAGAATCATGCATGTTTTGTATATTCATTCAGCTCTGATGAATGTGAGTTCAGACGTGAGTTGCCAAACCTGCTATTTTAGACGATTTTGGATTGAAATTCCATTCATTCAATAATGATTCTAGAATTCCTGAGAATAGGACGAATGGTTTTAGGCTATCAATTGGACTTTAGCCATTCCATTCAGGAAGAATAATTATGTTCAAATCATTTTACGCCAGCAGACAGCTTTCTGGTGCCGTTTTTTGGAATGAAGTTCTCAAATCTGAGTATTTGGAAGCGATGAGACCTGAATACGGCATATTTCATTCGTTTCTCACTACTTTATGTATTGTTCATCCTCGAGTTTATAAACCTTCTATAGTAGACCCCTCCCAACCTTTTTCCTCCTCCAAACAAATTGATCCGTTATTCATAGAAGGGGATCTACTGATCGGGATGAAACAGAAAGAAGAATAAGGATTGAATGCCAGAGACTCAACCACTGTCTGGCAATCAATAGAGGTCATTTTGTATATTTGTTGTGGGTATAACAATTCAATAATTCCTTCCGTGCATTGATTTACTCACAATTATAAGAAACATACAATTCAAATATCATGAATTGAATTACCTTCACAATGATGTATAACATGACCCTCATTTCCTATTCGAAATATGGAGAGGATTGCTCCATGGAGTACAGGGTTGAAGTATGTATTATATTTTTGCGTCAAACGGTCTCCCCCTCCAAATAAAAACCGACGTGTTTGTTGTAATGCCATATATGAGATGGAGATGAGTGTAGGGTCAGAATTGCTAAGTGATAAGTGCAGATAATTATTGGTGAGGAATAGTGATAAAAATCCCTAACACCAACCATGCAAATATGATATGCTTTTACGGTACTCTCTCTAACTTTTCAAATATAGTTCGATTTTGTTTCACCTGAGAGTAGATAATGGAGTGAAATATTGATAAACTTGTAGATATAGACATGATCAAAAATTATTTCAGGTACAGCATATATGTATATTATATCTCATTACATGTTGTAGGAATGATCTTGAGTAGTTTCATCTGGGGGTACCTGAGTGATATCCTAGGTAGGAAGAGAGTTATGGTATATGGTTACTTGATGGATTGGTGTTGTATGATCATGGCATCTTTTTCACAAAGCTTTGCCATAATGCTGACAGCCAAATTCCTCGGAGGATTCATGTAAGTGATGTGATGATCAATTTTGATATTTAAAAAGAGGGTTTCTATAAATGATTAACATATGTGAAATGATTTTTCCTACCACTCACCTGAGAAATCACCATTATTCTTGGATTTCCTCATGAGTAATATCACGAATATTCGAGATAATTCTGTCGCTTCATTGTTCACGAAATTGTGTTGCCGAGCAACATCACGAGTCCGTCAGGACGAATGGTATTGCTGTACGGCAATCTCAATTTCCTGCATTCCATCACTATACCATGGACTATTCGTCGATTGCTAGACAGCTTGCTTCTTAGAATAAAACAGTATCACGGGTTGAATTCGTTTGATTATTACATATTCGAACGATGGAAATTTCGTAAAAAACGATCACGAAAAAGAGGATTTGTTGATTCAGCAAATTATTGCTTGAATTATTTTTGTTGGACTGAGCAATTTTTTGTTGAATCAAACAGATACATGATCATTTCATAGAAGCAGCCTGTTCGAATCAAGAATGTAGTTTAATTGAATCAACAGTATAATATCCATACCATCAACAAAATATATGATTATCTCAAAAACGAATCATGTTGATCCAAAATAGTGTCGATTTTGAGTCATCTATAAACATTTTGTAGATTTGATGGAATAATGATCATTTTGATAATAATATATCTTGGAAACAACATGGTTTTCTCATTCCGATGTAGCAATGAACTCGTTTCGAACGGATCATTTGCTTGAATAGAGCAACGAAATATATAACATTAACGGAATATTTCATTCATTTAACATCGAGTTGAATTTTCGCCACTAGAGGGCGATCTTTACGGCTCGTCAATGCCTGCCTCGAATTCAGTATGTACGTGAAACCTGATCCTTCGTGTTTGATATATCAGCTGGATAAATAATAATGAGGTGATAGATACTAAATACTGTCTGTAGGTTAATCGAGGAGGTGGTATATTCATTTTACTTGATTGTTTGGGATTTTCTCTCCTCGTTTCTATAAAATAAAAATATTCGTATTATTTCAATATATTTGTAGTGGGACAAATCAGATGATTTGCCCCAAAATGTCCCTGCGTTTAAAAAATGTTTTTATCAGGGAGTGTCATGAACGAGATCAAACCAGCCAGCTGAATTATATTCGAAGTTAGAAATGTCAAAAATGAAATCGATGTACAACGAAGTGGGTACGTGTCAATTGATTCTCGAATATATACGACACAAAACCTCAAAAAATCATAAAATTATCCTACAGATCTGATGAGCTATTTTCGATTCATCCTCAGTCTATTGTTGTCTTATTACAAGAAATTGCGCCCGTGCAGACCCGACATGTACTGTCACTGACAAGCTACTGGATTTTTCTTCTAGACTCCCTAATAGAAAAGTTTGTTTAACGCAGTGACATTTTGGGGCAAATCATCTGATTTGTTCCACTACAAATATATTGAAATAATACGAATATTTTCATTTTATAGAAACGAGGAGAGAAAATCCCAAAGAATCAAGTGAAATGAATGTAATACCTCCTCGATTAACGTACAGACAGTATGTAACAATTTCCTCTGATGAAATGATGGAGTTCATCATTTGCTTGTAAGCAAATCCAAGACGAAATACTTCTGGCAGCTGATCTCTATTTTTGTATGATTTTCAGAATAAATGGTCCATTTTCAGCAGTTGCATCATTATTATCGGAATTCCACTCGTCCAAATATAGGTCCAGAGTGCAACTCGTTAGAGGTATTATTGTGGCTCTAGGTTCTGTCACAATTCCTCTACTCGCTTGGGCAATACTCCCAAGGAATTGGAATTTCTCAATCTCAGGATACGTAGGTGAGGATACGGATAACACAGCGCCGAATGATACACGTGCATGAAAATAATTCATGAAATTCCCGGAATCTACAATAATTCACAAATGCATTCCACGGCATTTATATACTCGAAAATTGTTCATTGCGTTTTTTCGTTCGTAGAAATACCGACATACATTCATATATTCATATCGAATTCATATCGTATGATTTTTCACATTTCAATTTCTCATATAGAGGATGAGTCAAACATGTGCACTAGATTGCTGGAGGTGATAGTAAGTTGAAAAATTAGTATACTCTGATTGATAAACTTATGACTCAAAATACATATCAAGGAAGATTTATCAATACAATGAAATCAAAATAATTTTGTCGCATAACTTTTAAACGGGGAATGCTACCAGATAAGAATTATCTGCAGAAACGTATGTTGTTAAAATATATTCCTGTGATACATTATACACTTCTCTTCTGGGGGCGTCTGCAGAAATAATCTCTAGGGGGGGAGAAGCACAGTCACCATAATAATGTACAGTAGGTATTTGGTTAGTACTTATCGAAGAAACATGAGAATGAAACAAAAACTGAATGAATAAATTTATCATCACAAAGTACGAGTTGTGTTGGGAAAGCAGTTGTAATTATTATGAATATAGGTATCATCGATGGCAAGAAAGTCTTACACTCTCTGTATCGAGAATCTTCTCCAGACTAGTCCACACTTAATAGGTTCATTCCCTTTCATCATTCATTCCAAAAGTATCGTGTAAAATATCTGCTTCAGTCGAGGCTTCAGCACTAACATTGATTGAATTGATTTTAACACTATACAATCTGTAATTGAAACAACACATTCATTTAAAGCTGTTTTATCTAGATCATTATATTCGATTCTCCAGGCAAGAAGTCGAATAATTTGTTAGCCTCACCTGAGTGACAAACAAAATAGGGATTGAATATTGCAAATCAATTTATTTATTGAAGGAGTATCCAAGTAAGGACAAGGCACTAGAAGGGCATTGGGTCCCTTCTTGTCCCTCCCTCATACAATCAATAGTTTCGAGATATCCAAGAAAAACGAAAATACGAAATTCCAGGGTTTCTTGAATAACTCAGGAATGACTGAAGCTAGTCAAGATTTCTCGACGGATTCTAAATCACAATTCGCTTTGCTGAAACTTTCGTGATTTAACCGACTCTCTATATCTCATAGTTATCAAGATCCCAATGGTGGGAGGATAAAATTTGGAACACACACGACATACTTTTTCTACGGCTGAATCAGATGACATCGAAATTTTTGATTTCTTCGGCATGTGGCTATCTGATGTTCTCTTGAGTAATGCTCATCCATCAGACAGGGCTATCATTGCTTGAAATTTGACATTTCATGGGAGATGAGATATTGTGTAATAACAACACAATGAAGTCATTGTGATATTAAATACGGAAATAAAATCGATGACATACAAAGTACCCCATTGGTTTATCGAACATAGTAAAACAAAAGTAAATTTGTGTTATAGAAAATTCTATTTCATACACACACCAAGAAAAATGCACTCAGTACGAGCAATAAACATCTAGGTACTGATTGATAACCTCGACTCAAATCACTGGCAAAATAAACAGAAGTATTCGTTTACATTAACAAAATCAGACGAAAATTGGTGAGTTAAACTACATACGTGGTACTCGAGCTGTTTTGATTACAATTATTAGAGTTCAACAAATTTTTACCTTCATCGAGAGATGGCACAGTCTGACAAAAATGGCTTGGGTCATTTTAACACTTGATAGAATGATACTTTGGGAAAACGAAACAAAACGCTCAGCTCCATTTACCAAAGAAGTGCACTTGGGATGGATGTTATGCTTCTCACCCCTTCAATCATAACCCCATTAAGGGCATTACTGTTACCCCCAATACTAACAGGGGGTAACCGGCATTACACACCCACAAGAATTATGTATTCGCGCTAAAATGACCGGCGCTGCCGCCATTTTTTGAAAATCTCATAAGTGAACTGCGTGCACGCCATATATTTGAATAAGTTGACCGGTTCAGATCCAGGGTGCCCAAACAGTCGATGACGATCGACCGGTCGATCGCGAGAGCTTTTGTTGGAATCGATTGACAAATGCTAAGAATAATATTCACTTTCTTAAGTCATTTTCATGAATGTAATTCCTTTTATTATACCTATGAGCAGGGTATTCCTAATCGCCGGTAGTCGTACAAGGCGATCGCTTGTCACCTAAATGTTTTGTGGTAGATCATAGTCCCTAAAAGTATGGGTATTCCTGATGTAGATATGTTGAATTTATTCTCAATGTTCTAGTATATGTATTGATTAACACCCTGTATAGATATGGATCTAGAATGCTCCTGTATATTCAACTGTTAGTTGTTAATTACGTATGTGTCAGATATTCAATTTGACAACATATTATTATCTATCATTATTATTTAGTGAATTCATCATTCACTGTATTAAAAACTGTTGCTGAAAACCGTGTCTCAGTGATCCTCGCAACAGGTTATGGGCCCAGATACGACCTGTAGATACGGCAGATAAGAAAGAGTAGGGTCAAAAGTTTCACACCTTCTACTAGTACTTGCAACACGATACAAAAATGGTAGATAAAATAGAAGTGACCAATATTAATAAGTTCGACGGTCAGAACTTCTCGCAATGGAAATTCCAATTGAAATGTGCTCTAAGAGCAAAGGGATTTTTTGGAATAGCGGACGGTACGGTGAAATGTCCAGCTTCCCCCGCTGACGCTGAAACCTGGTCGAAGAAGGATGCACAAGCAATGTTCCTGATAACAGCTGCCATGGATCTAGCCCAAATCACTCTAGTTGAAAGCTGCAACTCGTCAAAAGAAATGCTAGATCGGCTCAACTCGATTTACGAGCAGAAATCAGAAACTAACAAGATGCTAGTGCACGAAAGATTTCACCAGTATAAAATGAACCCCAATGATTCAGTAGCCCAACATGTTTCAAAAGTAGAAAATCTTGCCAGACAAGTTAAGGAATGTGGAGAAACTATCAGTGACACGGCTATCATGACTAAAATTTTGAGCACTTTGCCTATGAAGTACAGAAATGTTCGACAGGCCTGGTTGTCACTCGACGAAGGTAAACAGACAATCCACAATCTAACAGCTCGTCTTCTTGACGAAGAAGCATGTTTGACTTCCTACGAAGAAACAGAAACAGCTCTAGCAGCAGTATCGTTGCACAGCAAACCTAACAAGAGTACAAATCAAGAGACACAACAACGAAACAACTTTTACTGCTACAATTGTCGCAGAAAAGGTCATTTGTCTAAGAATTGCAGATCACCAAAAAGGAACCGAAGTAATCAGAACAACACGAGATTTAGGACTTCAAATAACTCAGTCAACTTCAATGGTAGTGCCAACAATAGTAACGAAACGGCATTCAACGTTGAAGAGGACACTGAAATGCACTTTGGTGATGACTGTTGGATTCTCGATAGTGGTGCATCCACTCATATGTGTCACCGAAAAGAATATTTTTCGACTTTTGTTGAAGAAAACGATAGAACAGTGATTCTGGGCAACAATCAATCCTTAATTGTTAGAGGAAAAGGTACTGTGAAAATTCAGAAGCTCATTGATGGTGAATGGTTCAACTCAACAATAAATGATGTACTTTATATACCAGAACTACGCAAGAATTTGTTCTCGGAAGGAGTTGTTACCATCAAAGGCATGAAGATCGTCAAAGAAAGTAATGAAGCACGAATATTCCATGAAAATAAACTGGTAGCTTGTGCTATAAGGGAACACAACAACCTGTATAAACTTTTATTTCGTACAGTCATTCTAAATGTCAATGTTGTCAGCAAAGACAGTTTGAAAATTTGGCATGAACGTCTTGGTCATATTAATATCAAATCCATCCGAGAAATGGTATCAAGAGGATTAGTTGAAGGTGTCGATTTCAGTGACGTGGATGACTTCTTCTGTGAAGGTTGTGCATACGGCAAACAGCATAAAATACCATTCAAGAAGATATCTCATCCAAAGATGAAACTTGGTGAGCGCATCTTCAGCGACCTATGTGGACCCATGGCAGTAGCTTCTGTACAAGGCTCGAAATACTTTTTGTCTTTTAAAGATGATTGTTCCGGCTACCGTATGGCTTACTTCGTGAAACACAAATCCGATGTTCTAGAATGCTTCATTGCATTTTGCAATAAGGTAAATAATAAATTTGGTAGTTCAATCAAAGTGCTACACGTTGATAATGGCACCGAATACTGTAACAAGAACTTGAAGGATTATCTATGTGCCCAAGGAATTGAGATGGAGAACACTGCACCATATACGCCTCAGCAGAATGGCAGAGCAGAAAGGGACAACCGTACAATCATCGAAAGTGCTCGTTCGATGCTCTACAGCGCGGGAATGCCAAAATACCTCTGGGCGGAAGCAGTGAATACAGCAATTTACATACTAAACCGAACTCCAACATCTCAGACTCCTGGTTCCACCCCGTATGAAGTATGGACCAGTAAGAAACCCATTCTTGGACACATTAGAACATTCGGAAGTGAGGCCTTTGTACATATACCTGACGAGAAACGCACAAAGCTTGATGCGAAAAGCAAGAAACTTTATCTTGTTGGTTACGACAATAACTCAACAAACTATAGGTTATATGAACCATCAACAAGAAAGATTCTAGTTTCCAGAAATGTGATATTCAACGAAAACATGAAAGGCTTCGAAGACAGACCAAACACTGTTCCAGTAGCAGTTGACGCTGAGAATGATGATGATGTTACAGCTTCACCTAGATTTATAGAACAAGTAGAGGATGAAAACAAAGGTGAACAACCCGAAATTGAAAAAGATAATGGAGGACAGCAAGAGGAAGAGTTCAATGGACGACGATCTCGAAGAAATATTCATCCACCAGCAAGGTTTGACGAATTTGAACTCAACCTAGTTGAAGTTGATATACCTACTACATATAAAGAAGCATTGACTTCAAGAGACTCAGAAGAGTGGAAACAAGCAATCTCTGATGAACTGACAGCTCTAGAGAAGAATAACACTTGGGAGCAAGCTGAACTTCCACCAGGAAAGAAGCCAGTTCACTCCAAGTGGGTATTCAGAGTTAAAAGAAACCCTGATGGTTCTATAATTCGCTACAAAGCGCGACTAGTAGCAAGAGGATTTTCTCAGACCAAAGGTGTAGATTATTCAGAGATATTCTCACCAACCACCAGGTATGACTCGATACGAGTTTTGCTAGCTATTGCAGTAGAAAACAATTTAGATATGATGCAGTTTGACGTTAAGACGGCATTTCTTAATGGCAACCTTGAGGAAGACATTTATCTAAAACTTCCTACTGATATGGAAGATGATGCAGTATACAAGCTCAAGAAGTCGTTGTATGGATTAAAGCAAGCCCCAAGATGCTGGAATAAGAAATTCAACGATTTTCTGAGTAATTTTGGGTTTATCCAATCAGAAGCTGATAAATGCGTTTATCGATGTCATGTTAATGATGAAAATGTTTTACTGGTGATCTACGTAGATGATGGATTGATTTTTTCCTCAAGTAAAGAAGCAATACAAACTGTTTTATCCGAACTACAAAGTACATTTGAAATAACTACGAGTGAACCGAATTATTATGTGGGATTAGAAATTCAACGGAACAAGTTCGACAATTCCATCTTCATTAGTCAGTCTAGTTATATTAGACAACTAATAAGTCGTTTTTCACTAGAAGATGCAAACCCTGTTAGTACCCCCTTGGATCCACATAGCAACTTATCCATAGAAACTGGGCCATATCTCGATGAAAGCGAAGTTCCCTATCGACAAGCAGTTGGATCTCTTATGTTTGCAGCAATAGTAAGCAGACCAGACATAATACATGCAGTGGGAGTTGTGAGTCGTTATCTCATTAAACATACCAACGCTCACTGGAATGCAGTCAAGAGAATCATAAGATATCTAAAAGGAACAGCAGATTATGGCATCAGATATCAGAAAACATCCAGTATATCACTGTTGACTGGATATTCAGACTCAGATTATGCTGGTGATTCAGAAACTAGACGCTCAACTACTGGTTATGTATTCAAAATCAGTAGTGGACCTGTTACTTGGGCCAGCAGACGACAAAATAGTGTTACACTATCAACAACTGAATCTGAATATGTGGCTGCATCGAATGCTGCCAGAGAAGCAATCTGGCTGCAACAACTATTGAAAGACATCGAGCAGCACATAACCAAACCGACGGTACTATACATCGACAACCAGAGTGCAATTAGACTAATCAAGAATCCTGAATTCCATAGTAGAACGAAGCATGTCGACGTTCGTCTTCATTTCATCCGGGAGAAATATGAAGAAGGAAGTATATTCCCGGAATACATATCTACAACAGAACAGCAGGCTGATATGTTCACAAAACCATTGTGTACAAAGACTTTTCAGTATCTGCTGGACATTTTAGGGATTAAAAAAAAAAAAAACTTTGATATACAGGGAGTAACTAAAACATTTAGAAAGTGGGAGTGTTGAATTTATTCTCAATGTTCTAGTATATGTATTGATTAACACCCTGTATAGATATGGATCTAGAATGCTCCTGTATATTCAACTGTTAGTTGTTAATTACGTATGTGTCAGATATTCAATTTGACAACATATTATTATCTATCATTATTATTTAGTGAATTCATCATTCACTGTATTAAAAACTGTTGCTGAAAACCGTGTCTCAGTGATCCTCGCAACAAGATAGTCTGAGCAATGGATTTGACCTGCATCCCATTGTCTTCTTGAAGTATATTTGCATTTTCTCTAGATATCGTACGCTGAGAACAGTATACATACAGGGTGACAGCTGAAAAACAAACTATTTTTGAGTTAGAACCACCGTAGGATAGGAAACTTGCTCTAATACTCCTAGAGCATCCTAACATCCCAATCAAAATGCTTCTAAGTTACGTTATTGCACTAGAGAGGAGTACTTGGTGCTTGCCCCGAGCAAAATTGTGCCTGTCTGGCTTGTCACAAAACTTTTGAGGAAAGTTTCATGGTGAATGATGTGACAAGTCATAAAAATACTTACCTAATTGATTGTACAAAATTCCAATTTTGTTGGTTTACGTTATTGCATGTTTATCAGAAAATGAAATAATGAATTAGGCACGATATCTTCTTGAGTTATAACGTGAACAATATGGAATAACAGAACCTCGATAAAGAAGTAGGAGGAATACAACTCAACAATGAAACAAATGGATGTATGTGATCTGGATATAATCCTCTGCATGAGATATATACCTACTGTCAAAGTGAAGTATCTATAGAAAATTGAAAGGTCGCCCACTTTTCTACAGTGTTTTCTAATGAAGTTAGTGTGGTATCACGACACAGCAGGCGGAGCTTCTCTTCTCTGGATGGAATCTAAAAGCATCAGCGTATGTTTCGGTGCTGAACCCCATTTGTGATAACATTATTCCAAAACAGGCCGTGGTCGCGGACGTCACAACTCATAGGTAGATCACCCTGTTTATTCAATTGTTCCTCATGAATGTTGCAAATTGAGAATAAACATCGACTTTTTTTAGGAGATTTCTCAGAATTTGATAGTACGGATAAAAAAGAATGTATAGACTACTTCACAAGAGCACTCAATTCAACGGACACACTGTATGAAAACTCTTTGTATAATATCAACTACAATATTCAGCTTTTCATGGAAATTCCAAAAATTGAAGAATATAAAGAGTGTTTCATTTAATAAAATTTTCTCGGTCAACATTTTTCAAACGTGGATCACCCTGTATATTTTCTTTTCTCCCATAAATGTGGTAAATTGAAAATAATAAGCGACCAGCTCCAGGGGAATCCTCAGAAATCGATAGTTTGGCTAAAACTTAATTTATTCAGTCCTTTACGAAAGCATACCCTTTCAGCTATGGGCATCATTTTCGACTTCCACTTCTTAAATTTTCTGATTTCGCAATCTTTTCAATATCATGTTCAAATCATCAGTTCTATGTGAATAATATAACCATCATAATTATAACTTGAACGTATTCATTCCACTTCGAGATAATATGGACGTCTACCGTAGATTGATGAATGATGGTGTATTCTGACTATTCTATAATATTACAGCTAACCCACTATGTCTTTAGTGGTGAAAATGAATAATTTATATATCGATCAGAGTTTTTTTGTTTCCAGCAATTCATTCCTGGAACATATATCTGCTGGTATGTTCCTTTTCTTCGCTGACTAGCGGTTTGATCTTCATCTTCATGCCTGAGAGCCCCAAGTTTTTGATGAGTAAAGGAAGAAATGAAGAAGCCTTGGATGTCTTTCGAAGAGTATACAGCATGAATTACGGAAAACCCAAAGATCAATACCCTGTGAGTTCTTTATTGATGTATTTTGTCTCCTTGTAACTGGTATCACTCCAGGATCATCTGAACAGATTTCACGAATATTTCTCTTTGAGATTCCTAATATTATCGATACCAAGGCATACACCGATATCGATATCAAGTTTTCAATATCGCACAGCCCTACTCTACACCCACCTTTGGGACATTTATTGATTGGATTATAATCGCACATCTCAACGAAAAAACCATCACAAAATCCGATATTACCCAAGCGGGAATCAATATCCAATTTAAAACCATGGCCAGAAACTTAATAGAAGCCAGAGTGATGTACACAATCAAAAACACCATTAGTTCCACCAAGGATAACCTTCCAGCGGACATTTTTGACCTCATTGCACAGCGGAAACTTGGCAAGAAGACATGGCAACGTTTAATAACTGTAGACTCAAGGAACGAATTCAAAGGATCAGGTAATCTAGTAGACGTTGGAATCCACAAGGTCAGGAATGCCGCTTGAAGAACCAAGGTGGAAAACTTGAATCCTCGTGACAACTCTCTGTGGAGGATGACCAGGGGTCTTAGACGCGAGCCAAAGCACATGGCCTTGAGGAGGCAGTGACAGATCCAGGAAAGGTGGAAATACTTGGAAGACACTTCCAAAGTATTAATGAAAGTAATAACAATAACAACAACAAACAACAAAAAGTGTTGAAATTGGCAGCCAGATCTCGAGGTATCCCTAATATCCCTTTGTCCCGGCCGTCGAACCCTTAGCAAAGAACTTACAATAAGAGTTATCGGAGTTGTAGAGAGAATAAATATCATTAAAGCACCAGGGATTGACGGTATTGTGTAAAACAATTGTGCAACTGCATTACCTGATTAATGCCATCTCCAGAACACAGCACTACCACAGTTTCTGAACACAAGACTAATAGTCCCATACCTAATCCGGGAAAAAATCCGGAATTTGCTAGGTACCTACTGTTAGAAATTGTGTGTATTCGAATATTTGTGAATATCAAGGAAACTGTTTTTCTTATTTTTGTTTTCAAGAAATAACAACACATTGTATGTGATAGTGGTCAGTGTCATAATATTTTTTGATTACCTTTCATGTTTCTGTAACATTTTATTTAAAATACAACATTTATACTTTCCTGGAGTGCGTTCATTCTCTGTTCTCAACTCAGACGTTTATCTATACCAGGTAGGTTTAGTAAACGCTACATTTGGCGACCGTGACAGGACAGAGAGCAGAACACCAGAGAAGTTAAATGGACATGCAGAAATTGATAAAGGCGTTAGATGTTCATCGAACATCATTTACAAGAATACATGATGCTACTACAAGAGCACTACAGTCTACGGACTTCAACATGTTTGAAGTTCAAAGTAATTTGAAAATTCTCGAGCAAAAGATTGGAACTATGGTAGAACTTGATAAGAAACTGGTTGATATGTTATTAGATTCTGATTCCGTAAGTGACGACATTGATAATGAAGTAGAAAAAGCTGATCAATTCGTTTGCCAATTCAATAACTTGAAATTCAGAATCGATGATCGACTCAGTTCAACAAATATGATCGACATAGATAGACAGAGTCAAGCAGGACCATCCCAACGCAAATTAAAACTACCCAAGATTGAAATGAAGAAGTTTGGTGGCGATATTCATGACTGGTTACCTTTTTGGAGCCAATTTAAACGGATTCATGAAGATAGTGAATTAAATAACGAGGATAAATTCCAATACCTAATTCAGGCGACCATTCCAAAATCACGGGCGAGATTGATTGTTGACAGCTATCCTCCATCGGGAGAAAATTATCCAAAGGCAATCGAGAGTTTAAAATCTAGATTTGGAAGAGACGACCTCCTCGTGGAAGTGTACGTTCGCCAGCTCTTGCAATTGATCCTGAATAACATGAACGGAAAGTGCAAGTTAGGATTTCTCTACGATAAAATTGAAACTCAACTGCGTGCATTAGATACTCTGGGTGTTACCTCAGATAAATGTGCTGCTATGCTTTATCCTCTAATTGAATCATGTCTACCAGAAGATATTCTTCGAGTTTGGCAGAGATGTCCTCATTTTTCAATCGATGACAACCTGAAGAAACGGTTAGAACAACTGATTCATTTTCTGAAGAAGGAAGTGGAGAATGAAGAAAGAATCGCGCTTGCTGCCTCAGGATTTGATTTACAGAAAACTAAGAAGAAAGATGAGCCCACTCCAAGTAAATCGATTCCAACTACTTCAGCATTAGTTAACACCAAAATGTTGAAATGTCATTTTTGTAAGATGGATCATTCTTCTGAAGACTGTAAAGAAGCCTGGAAAATGACTCTTTCAGAACGCAAGAAAATTCTTTCTACCAAGGGTTGTTGTCATTTATGCCTTAAGTTTGGACATATAGCCAGAAAATGCAGGACTGCGCCTCATCTTCACTGTAAACATTGTGAAGGCAAACACTCAACTTTGATGTGCCCTAACGCTCCGGACATATCCCTCGAACGAAATAGCGTACACATTACCGAAAACCTTTCCAATAATACCCGAAATGAAGTTTTCCTACAAACACTGATGGTATTATTGAAAGGAAAGAATAAGTCACGGAGGGTAAGAGCTATCATTGATACAGGTTCACAGATGTCTTATATCAATAAACATACTGCTATAGATATGGAAATTGAGACATTGAGGAGTGAGGATATGACACATGCTCTCTTTGGAGGTTTCCAATCTGAAATCATATCCCACTCTTGCTTCAGAATATCTTTGGAAAGTCTCGATAAGACTTATGCTTGCAGCTTAGAAGTCATGGATCAACCAATAATATGCAGTAATGTTGTTTCGATTAGTGATGGCCCATGGACAGAAGAGTTGAAGGAGTTGAACATCAACATCACCGACACAGAAGATGGTCCAATAGAAATACTAATCGGAGCGGATGTCGCGGGGAAACTGCTTTCTGGACCACGACACATACTGAAATGTGGACTTGTAGCCTTAAAAACGTCTCTAGGTTGGACAATTATGGGAAAATTGAATACGTCATCTGGAGACTACTATACAAAAAGTTCGATAGTGGCTACTTCTTTGTTCGCTAGATCACTATCCATAGCTGATATGTGGAATTTAGATGTATTGGGCATAGCAGATCCTCAAGAGAAGAAAACTTCGAAGGAACATGAATCAGCAGTGCTGAAACAGTTTTCAACTACTATTACTAGAGATGAAAAAGGACGATATCAAGTTTGTATGCCGTGGATTGAAGGTCATCCTCCACTTCCAAGCAATCTTCAATTATCAAGGACCAGATTGGATAGTCTTATGGTGAAATTAAGAAAAGATGGGTATTACGAAGAATATAATAAGGTTTTCGAAGAATGGTTATCGGAGGGCATAATCGAAGAGTTACCTGTTGCAGAAATCAAAGATATAGGACATTATCTGCCACATCGTCACGTTCTGAAACTCAACAGTGCGACTACGAAGCTTAGGCCTGTCTTTGATGCATCTGCAAATCAGAAAAATCATCCTTCATTGAACCAGTGCCTCGAGAAAGGAGTGAATTTGATAACTTTGATACCATCCATTTTAATTGGTTTCAGAATGTCCAAAATTGGGGTAATTTCCGATATCAGAAAAGCGTTTCTTCAAATCAGTCTTCATGAACGAGAAAGGAATTTCCTTCGATTCCTCTGGTACAATAAAAATGGTGACCTAGTACTGTATAGGCATGCTCGTGTTGTATTTGGTATCACTTGTAGTCCTTTTCTTTTGGGCGCAGTCATCAACCATCATCTACAGAAGGAACTTCAATACGATAGTCGATTCTCCAGGAATACAATTTTGAAACTCATGAGAAGTTTCTATGTCGATAATTGTGTGACAAGTATCGACTCTGAAGAGGATCTAGAGAAGTTCATTCAAGAATCTCGGGAAGTGATGGCTGATGGTAATTTTGATCTCCGATGTTGGGAGTCCACCTGTTCAAACAATGATCCCCAAGAGATAAAGCTGTCACCGGTCCTTGGCATGATTTGGGAAAGAAGCTCAGATACACTCAAACTCAATTTTGATTCGTTTCAAGAATTTTATCCGAAAAAGAATTTCTCTTGGATTCATCGTTATTTTTCTAAATTTCAGAAGATTGTCAATCTCATAGGATGGATCAAGAGATTCATTTTCAATAGTACCCATCCTACGAATAAAAGGAGAGGTGAATTATCCGTTTTGGAGCAAGAGGATGCCGAAATATTTTTGATAAAATGTATTCAGCAAGAGGCCTTCAATGATGGCATAGATAAGATGTCATCTCTTCTACCTTTCAAAGATGAGGATGGTATCTTACGACTCAAAACCAAGATAACTGAGAGAGAAGATTCGAAAGAATTTCGTTATCCAGTGGTGTTACCTGCGAAACACCCTATAGTAATTCGATTAATTCATGACGTCCATATTCGCTCCTGTCATGTTGGGGTACAGGGCCTTCTTTCAATTTTGAGGGAAAAGTTTTGGATACTGGGTGGTAGAAAATCGATAAAATCTGTAATTTCAAAATGTGCAGTATGTCGCAGATTTGATTCAAAGAACTATGAATCAGTACCAGTTGCACTACCCAAAAATCGTGTGAAGGAAGCGGCAGTATTTGAAATAGTTGGTATTGATTTATTCGGTCATCTTTTTCTCCGAAATCAAGATAAAGTCTGGGTATGCATATTTACATGTGCAGTTTATAGAGCTGTACATTTGGAACTGGTATCTTCTCTAACAACCGACAGTTTTATTCAAGCGTTTCGAAGATTCATTGCAAGAAGAGGACGACCTTCAATAGTGTATTCGGATAATGGAGGTAATTTCATCGGTGCAAAAAATGCCTTAGAGTCCTTGGATTGGGCAGAAGTTGAGAAGGTCCACAGAATTCAGAAAATCATCTGGAAATTGAACGTTCCTACAGCTCCATGGTGGGGTGGATGGTGGGAACGATTGATTCGTCTTATAAAACAATTACTAAGGAAAGTATGTGGCAGAGCCAGTCTCAGATATGAAGAGTTGGCATCGATTTTATGTGACTGCGAAGCCGTAGTAAACTCACGACCTCTCACATATGTATCTGAAGACCAAACAGATATGGCTACTCTAACTCCAGCCATGTTTCTCCAAGACATTAAACAAGTTGGTGTTCCAGATCTAGATCGAATAGAATCTCATGATTTAAGGAGAAGATGTAGATATAGGAACAAACTCAAAGAGGATCTAAGAAGGCGTTTTCGTACAGAATATCTTGGACAATTGGTTTTAAGAAAATTTGAGAATCCTAGCAAGAAGCCGCAAATTGGAGATGTTGTTTTGGTTGCAGATGATTTCACAAAAAGAATTGACTGGCCATTAGCGAGAATTGAAGATCTACTAATTGGGAAAGATGGCGAGTCAAGGGTAGCTAGATTGAAAACAATGGCTGGATACATCATCAGGCCGATTCAAAGATTGCATGCTTTAGAAATGGATCGAGGAGATGAAAACGTATACCATTCAAGAATGAAAATCGACATTCCCAAACAGGAAAACCATTCAACAGAAGACGACGTAACCACAAGAAGTGGAAGAAAAATCAAGCCCCCTACCAGATTGAATTTGTAGTGGAAAGAAATTGAGTCATTCTAATTCGAAGGCAATGCCTCAAGGTGGGAGAAATGTTAGAAATTGTGTGTATTCGAATATTTGTGAATATCAAGGAAACTGTTTTTCTTATTTTTGTTTTCAAGAAATAACAACACATTGTATGTGATAGTGGTCAGTGTCATAATATTTTTTGATTACCTTTCATGTTTCTGTAACATTTTATTTAAAATACAACATTTATACTTTCCTGGAGTGCGTTCATTCTCTGTTCTCAACTCAGACGTTTATCTATACCAGGTAGGTTTAGTAAACGCTACACCTACCTCCCTATCTCCCTGTTCAGCATGATAGCCAGAGTGGTAGATGAGTCCCTTCTATATATGGTTGACACTCTTGCTGAGGACCAGAGTGTGATCCCTCAGGAACAATTTGGGTTTCGAAAAAGACATAGCACCACGTCCCAAATTGCCTGAATTGTTCACGGGATCAAAGAAGCCTTCAGCCAAGATGAAAACACAGTTATGGTCCTGATGGACATCGAAAATGAGTTCAATACCGTTTGGCACGGGAGGTTGATGTGCAAACTGATATCAGCTGGGATGCCCATGTTCGCTGTGAAACTTATCGACTCGTACTTTGCCCAAAGATCGATGAAAGTCAAACACAATAACACTATTTCCCGAGAATTCCCACTCGTGGCAGGAGTCCCACAGGGGTATGTCACCTCTGCTGTATTCATTATATATGTCCTTCCTGTGTTCGTGTGAACGAATACTGCACTGTACGCGGACGATACCCACGAGACGAATTGCCCTTTTTTGGACAGAATCAAACCCATCAGGGTATGTTTTGGTTCTGGACTCCAAATATGGGAACAGTATTCCAGGACAGGTCGGATCTGTGCCTTATTGATCATTATCAGCTGACTGGAAGCGAAATAGCTCCTGTCCCGAAACAGAAAACCAAGTTTTTAGGATGCCCTCTCAGCAATTGATCTCACGTGATTTTCTCAAGAAAGGTTATTGCTGATAGCATCGAAATGGAGGTCTTCAAAGGAATGTTTACTTGTGACAAGCTTATGTTGGGCACAGTGAGATGGGCTTTTCTAAAAAAAAAGGCATGCTTGTGTTTTGTTTGCATTGAAATCTACCAAGTTATTGGATCCTTATTCGAGAATTGTTGCCAAGTCCATCTTTATGTTGTCAATATTCCTCCCTCGTACATTTTTCATTTGCCTGGCTGGTATTGGAGCCCTGGAAGAGAAGGCGGTATGAAGGGTACTATCATCCGCGAAGCTGTGTACTGGACATGAAGTGGCTTCCAACTAATCGTTGATGGAGTAGAAATAGTGTTGGTGCTAGAATTGATCCTTGCGGAACACCAGCATTTATGATAAGAGAGTCAGATGAAACTCCGTTGACCACTAGATGGAGAGACATGTTTGAGAGGAAACTAGCTAGCAGAGAACATATCTGGGGAGGCAAGCCATAAGATGGAAGCTTGGCGAGGAGTCCGTGGTGCCAGACTCGATTGAATGCCTTGGAGATATCTAGTGCCACAGCTAAGGTTCCACCATATTTTTCAATAGATTGCTGCCATATATGTGAGACGTAGGCGAGCAGGTCACCAGTTCATCTCTGATGACGGAAGCCATATTGCCTATCGTTGATAATACCTGAATGTTCCAGATATTTCATGAGCTTGATGTTGATAGATTTCTCCATGATCTTTGAAATAATAGATAGCATTGCGATCGGTCTGTAGTTGCTAGGTAGGGTCTTTCTGCCTTTTTTAGGAACTGGTTGTACTCTTGCAATTCTCCAGTTGGACGGGAATATCCCCAATTTATAAGAGTAGTTGAACAACTCGCAGAGAACAAGTGTTAGTTCGAGAGCAAATTTCTTGAGAACTATCGGTGAGTTTCCGTCGGAGCCATGAGCTTTGTTGATGTTGAGACCCGGAGTGTGCAATATCATACTTGTTTTCCTATGTGCACCTTTTTCTGTCTAAGAGTATTCCACCAAATTTTCAGTTATAACGTTGCTTTGAGTTCACCTCACTATGGAAATCATCCAGTGGATTTTTCGACACAAATCCCAATTTCTAGATACTCCACCATTTCCATACTCATCACTCATCAGCGACACTTTATATTCAATATCTTGGGTCAGTTTTCATCTGAATATAACTGGGGTTGTTTCTTTTCAGATTAAATCTCTAGTGAATGAATGTTGCCTTCCTGATTCGACAGCATCTTTCAGAAGACAGAGTGTTCATATCATCAGAGGTTTCATAGGAACAGTGAAGCCGTTGTTTACAAGGCAATACATTTTTTATTTAATACTGACCTGTGTAAATGGATTCATGCTGCTCATGAGGTACGTAACACAGGGTAACTTGCACATACATACGTTATCCCCCCAACTAGCAGAGCAGAACACATACGGACGTGAATAATATCCCTTTAATTATTATATGAATACACTATGGAGACCTAAGATGGAATCAAATCCGTATCACAATAACAGAACTATATTTTGAAGAATCTTTGGACAAGCTGATTTTCATTTTCGAAAATCACTTTCTCTGTGTGAAATCCTTCAACCACCTCTCAACCTCTTGCACTACAGATCAACCCCTTCAATATTTTCAAAAATGTACAAGGGGTCAAGTAACACCTCGTTATGTAGGTGCTTTGAATCTCCATATAAGGGTATACTTTTTTTTTCAATTGAAAGCAGAAGAAAGATTCAAAATGTATCGGATTTCTTCCCAAATTATTGGTAATGATAGGTACTGTTTCATTGTACTTACATATTATGTATACATATTTTGTCAGAAAACTTCGTTGTGTAAGGTATAATTTCCACGCATATAAGTAAATGCCGTCGGTTTTTCATGATGATCCAAAACTTCTATACATTGGTTTTATAGTAGGTTTTTTCGAAGGTATCTGAGTTTATTGTATAACGTAGTCGTGAAACATATATTGATAGGATTCATTTTCAATCTTTTTCAAGGATTGTATAGTTTTCTCATAAAAATATTGTGATAATATATAACATAGTGCCCACAGATTCTAGGAACAAAAATAGTGAGAAGAGTTTATTCAGACCGTTGATAGATATATTACGCGCAACGTTTAGACATGGGTCCAGAAATACCCGATGAGGGGTTATATGCTTCTAAACGAGAGCCTGAGATGATGGTTCAATTTGAAAATTTTCGAAACTCCCTGTGATAATTCAACCAAATATGGTTCATTTTCAAAATACAACTTTTCATGCCTGATTGGGAAATAGGTGGAGCGTTTTACCAACCTCTTTGTTCATGCAATTTTCGGCAGTTTCACCAGGAAATATAAAAATATCATTTTTCTACAACCGACACAAAAGTCGTCCATTTTGATACCAATATTAGCTCTTAAATTGACGTTTCTCTTACTGTCACAAGTATAGGTATGTTGCTAGGCAACATATTTAGTTCCTGGAAGCTAAAGTTGAATTTTAGTTCCTAGGAGCTAAAGTTGAACTTTAGCTCCTAGGAACTAAAAATGATGTACTGGAAGTTATCAAGAATAAACAACATTGTGACGGTTGGTTATCTGGGTTGAGACGCATACCTGATTTGTTTCCGATTTCAGCAGATTTGGCATTTCATACCCATGCTGAAGATATAAATACACCTTATTATAGTTTAGTATTGGAATTATAAACATCTCAGTTAAGTATTTTTGTTTTGATCAGGGAAGCCTTCAAGATTCAAATACTTGCTTGATCTGTATTTCATTCGTTATTCTCGGGATGGATAACTTGTTTTTGACTAATCACGGCAAGGCCAAGCAATAGTTTTTTTGTCTCAAACAACGATATTGTTTAGCTTCATTCGATCATCAAACACAGTGTAGTATGGAGAGGAATAAATAATCACTATTATCATTGTTGATATGCTCACTAACCTAAAATTTTCCACGTCTTGTTTCTATAGCTGGCTCTAGCGCGGTGTTTGCCATTAGAGCACCTGGTCCATACACAAATATGTCACTCTGTGGTGGTATTTATATTGAAACTTCAATTCGAACATTCTAGAAAACCTAACCTGCTGTTAATGCAGGTAGAATATTCTCACCACATAGATTATTTGTCAAAATTTGTTGCATTGCATACATATGGCACGGCATTGGTGGTTACTTCACATGTTTATTTGAGTTAATTGTTTCGGTTGCAGAAAAAATAGCATGTTTCATTCGGATCAAAAGTGACTTTGTTCGACTCGCAAATTTTGCTTTCGCTCGGCTTCGCTAAACGCTCCGCCTCGCAAATGCAAAGTTCGCTTGTCAAACAAAGTGTCACTTTTGATCCTAATAAAACAATCTACTATTCTACTTGAAAATGTTACTTTTGTTTGGTTCCGATAGCACTCACCAATTTTAAGATATATCAATTTTGAAAGTCTTCTGTGCGTAGTAAAAATAGTTAGGGAGGTGAGGTACAGGGTACCACTTAAGCATAATCAGTTAGTATTTTCATAATCCGAATAGATCAATTGCATTTTCTGATATATATTGAACCTATGACTATATGCCACCGATTAATTTGGTATTCCTCGTGAACATGTATGTTTGTTTTTTTATAATGAAAATTTCGTGACTGTGCAATCATTCCGATGTACACCATTCGTTGGGGTAAATGGTGGATGCGGAGGACTTTTGTTGGTTACAACAAGAACATATCTTGTTCGAAATCATGATGATTTAAAAAATTAACCTCCTGAATGAAAACAGGTTTGGCTCCATCATATACATATAATATTCAACAGAATACAACTGCTGATCTAGGTTAAAACTTTAACATATTTCAATTTGAACTAAAGTCTATAGCTCAATTGACCTTATTACTACTTTTTAGTAGATCGATATGATGGGGGCATTAAAATGGCGGAAAGTTATTCTCTATAAAACTAGCTGGAACAGTAAATTCAAAAATGTGTAATAGAATTTACTATATTTGGAATTATTTTCATTACTTCATTACTTGACCAAGTTAAGTACGAGTAAAAATGAGGTAAAGTAATGCCCAAACAGCTCACGATTTCTCTCATATCGAGATGAATAAGTGCAATTCATTTCATGACTATTGGATTTGCATTGTACACTGTTGTCAAGAGTCCCTATAATTCCTGATCGTGCATACTAGATATACATTTTTCATAGTTATGTCAGGATACTCTTGACAAACTCCAAATCGAATTGAGTAGCTTTTCGAATAAATGGTAAATGGATTCGATAATCATTTGAAATCATTGATAGTCTCCATATAGGTGATCGTTGATATTCGTGAAATTCAAATACTGCAAATCTTAAAATATTTACACAAAAAAACATCTTTCGTCGTTTGACACTTTTGACATAGGACATGATTATGATTAATGATAATAAAGGTGGATTTATACAGGACAAACTCACAATGGACTATTAAATAATTTTTGAAACTGTATACTGCACAACTCTTGGCGTCGAATTTGATAACCCCTAAATTATGATTGATTTTTTTTTTTGGTAATTCGATACTTTCACCTGCTTTCTACCAAATTTATTTCCAAGTGGAGTCTTTTTATCGCACTGAAGTTCAACTCTAGCTCTTAGGAACTAAAGTTCAACTTTAGCTCCTAGGAACTAAATATATGTTGCCTAGCAACATACCTATTTTTGTGTCAGTAATAGAAAGGTCAATTCAAGAGCTGATTTTGGTATTAAAATGGACGACTTCTGTGTCGGTTGCAAAAAAAATTATATAAAAGTATATGATTATGGTGGTTGGTATTTGATCAGGTATATAGCTGTATCTGAAAACAGGTCTTCATGCCTTTCAATAGATGTGTAGAACTGCGAATACAGCTTTTTTGATGAGTTGAACAATATAACATTTACTTTGATATTTTCATTATAATAGTATAAATATCAATCATGCTTCGTGAAATTTTTTCATTTTGCAGCACCAACACTTTGAAATTATGGCTACCCCAACTGCTGCAAGCCGTAAATGACTATCAGCAAAGCTACGGAGGCAGTTCCGATATCTGCAATATGCTAGAAACATTGGTACCAGCCAATGAGACCAAAACTACTTGTGAAGTGGTAGGTACTTTTTATGTTATTTATAAATCGACACCTACTGGGTGTCTATTATTTCAACGTGAAACAAGACATATTCGTATCGAGCACCCAGTACATCGCATTCGGGTAACATTGCATTATCCGAGCTCTCTAATACAAAACTAGAATGCCAGACGCTTCTTGCTAGTCTTGCGAAATTTTGAATTAGCAAACGTAATGATTTATGCGAATATCAAGAAGGGAAATATCCTTTCTGCACAAGAAAATATACAACTTTTTCTAAACAATCAAACCTAACTCGGCTAAATGAACTTTCTTCCTAAAAAGTATATTTTTCCGAAACTTGCTAGGGAGAACATGGTAAAATTTCTTTGGACAACGAAATTAGTGATTCACACGAGACCAACGAGACGAGACTTTCATAAAGTCTCGTCTCGTCTCGCCGCCCCGAGTCTCGTCTTGTCTCGCGTCTCGTACGAGTGTCTCGCAAATGTATCGCAATTTCGTCATGCATAATCTTGTTCCAGTCTAGTACGGGATATTTACCTTTACCGACTTTTTAGGTAAAATTTAGAAGTAGGAAGAGAAAATAACAACAAAAAAAACATTATTTTTTATTGAAAAGTAAGTACCTAATAGGTACATACTTACATCATACATCTAAACAAGAAAAACAAACATAGCATTATATATTAGAAAGTTATAAGAATAAAATAAAAAGTAACAGGTATGTTCTAAACAAATAAACAAAACAAAAACTTCAATTCAACATTATTTTACTTATTTGAGAAATGGGTATCTAAGAAAATAGTCATTTGTTTTATTAGGCAGAAAAGTAGTCAATCTACATTTGCTGCCGTGTGAAACATAGAATTTTTCCTCCAAATGATATAAAACTAATATTTGTTTCATTGAAAACTCCATCATTTTGTGTTCACTCAATGTCAGTGTCAATTTTGATCACTAATTCCATTAGAATTTCTTGGAACGTTGCATACAACAAACTTTTTCTGCTTAGGCAGTAAAAGTACACCTTTTCTGCCTGTCAAGCGGCAGGAAAAAGCCGCTATCCCTGCCGATTGGAGAAAAAAAACCTTCAGTCAGATCAGCCTTCACGATCGCAAATGTTTTTGTTTTTCACCCAGTCGTTGAGACATAACAAACATCGTGCAAATTCATTATTAAGGCGATTCCGATGTTTTTCTATAGAATTCTTTCTAAATATGTTTTATTATGAATGAAATTCTCAAGTCTGCAGTCGGCACGCAGAAATATTTACCTGCGAGACTCTCGCACGAGACACGAGAAGTCTTGCACGAGACTCGAGACGAGACCAATAAAAGTCTCGTCTCGTCTTGTCCGAGTCTCGTCTCGAGTCTTGTCTCGAAAACGAGACGAGACCATTCGAGACTCTCGAAAACGAGACTCTCGCGGGCACCACTAAACGAAATACAAAATTTGAAGAAAAATCAACTTTGCGAGGACTGAACTCGACCCACTTAAATAGTAATTCACGTAACAAGTCCGAAATATACTGTTTTTTTTTTGGACGAGTAGACAAAATTCTAGGCCAAGCCGTAGACGAGTTCAAAAAAACTGTTTTTGAACGTATTGCGTACACTATTTTTTCGGCAACCTTGTAGAATAACAAATCGATGAGACACATTTCCATATCATATTCCTTGGTAGAATACAATTTCTTCTTTATTGATTCTCATTTGTATCAAATACTGAAATTTGAACAGAATACCTATACCTACTAACTGATACATTGGGGAAATTTCGTATGGACCTTTTCAAACTCACTATCGTAGCTGCTTTCGATAGTTTATTGCGATAATTGCAACCAAACTTTCAAAAATCAAAATTACAACTAATTTCATATGTCAAACAGCTGTCAGCCGATATAGGTCGTGTGCACGATGACCGACCCTGGAGGCAAAATATTGAAACACAACCTCATTCTTCTGTGAATTATTGAAACACAACCTCACTTTTTTGTTTGGTTACAGTGGAATCAAAGGATTGAAATAGTTTTTCACTATATTTTGGCACACGAATCGTGTTTCTTGAGTCATTCATTAATTCAAGCATGCTTTTGCATTGTGCTGTTGTACAATGCACAAAAAATGCAGCAAGAGACTAGGGAATATGATTTTTCAGGTAAATAGTAATCTCACATAGTTATCATTACGAAATATTGTCATTCCTTATTAAAATTCCTTCTGCCTTCTGCCACTTCTGCAATACAAGCTAATACTGCTAATAGATTGAAAATGTCTACAACACACACGATCGTCAGCATGTCAGACCAGTCCTCCCGATTGATTGCATGAATCCAATCTTCTTGCATTATTCTAGAAATTTCAGGTATGTTTCTATCAGCTCTTATTGCAGAAGGAATTCCGATGAGAAATCAGAGAAATAACCAAATTCCGAAAATTAAAACTATATGTGAGTGACTATAGTAGGTTCTTACTTTTAAATCATAATGTACCATCCGGATTCTTTCATCTTCCGCTGCAGTTTTTGTGCATTTTACAACAGCACAATGTGATGGCATGAGCGAATTGATGAATAGCGGAAAAATACGATTCCTATGCCAAAATAATTGTGAAAAACTATTTCGATCACTTGTGAACAAATAAGAAAAGTGACGTTGTGTGTCAATGTTTTGCCTCCAGGGTCGGTCATCTGACAGTTCTTGCACGCGACCTATTTCGCTGCTATGGTATCATTTGCATTTATCAAAAACAAATCTACCAATATTTTCATAGTAACAGTGACAACAACGATGTGATACTTCCCGGCCTAGGACAGGAAAATGATACTTTCTCGAAGAAAAAGCGTCCGGGAAGTGAGCTCTTCCCGGACCGTTGCCGAAAAAATTATTTCGTGAAAGGAGAAATGCAAGAAAACTTCAGCCAATCGAGCATATGGTGAACCAAGAGAATGCTGTAAAATTTCGACAGTCATCTGATAACGAAATGATGCATGTTCCGAATGCATGTAAAAACATTGTATTTTTTCAAACGGCACCTATATCAGAAAAAGCTAGTAAATGCTTTTTTTCAACTCTTCCAATAACGGAGAAATAGAGTCCCTGCCTGTGGTCCGTGCATATCAAAACCATCGTCCACTCAAAACCATTACGAAATGAAAATGACAATGCCCTGAAAGCCGTTTGATATTCATAAGTTCATCGTAATAACGTTAGACACGATGATGCAAAGGTATATCCACGGTGATAATTTCCAACCGTAATTGTTATTACAATTTTTAGGATATCATATTTATGGAGCATTTTCCAGTATTATATAATTATCGGCAAATACATATCAATGATATCATTACGTCAATAATAAATAATTAATGCCTATATAAGACGCCGCTGATCGTGTATATTCAATCAAGATACCTCGATTATAATAAACTAAAATTGAGACAGTGTGATTTGTTAGTAAACATATTACTTACATATTTATGAATCTCGTTTTGTCGGGGAAATACGCTAAGAAACATGAGACTTTTTATAAATACGTATTAAGATTTGCAGAAAAACCCATGAATAATTCTGCTCACCCAACACAGATCATATTTCTATAAAAACAAGGAAAAACCCGTCATTTTGAATTATTGAAGAGTTGAACGAAACATCATTTTGGATGGAAACCCGAGTAGGGATATACCTACGATATTCTAAATAGGTGCGATAGAAATGATAAAAAAATATTACCCAATCATTCTCTTCAAATGAATATGTCAGAAGAAAAACACTTTTTATACTTATGATTCAATTAATATTGGTTCAGATTTATTCCTGTATGAGGAATTAATTACGCCATCGGATTCTTTTAATGGCAACTCCATTTTACGAGAGCACTGAATTTGATGGACGCACTGTATACAAACCCTATCTGTCCGAATACTGCTTCGCATGAAGATTCCAAAAATTCAATAATGATATTGGGTGTTCCATTTGAAACAATTGTTGCGGACGTCATAACTGAAACGTTGATCACCCTTTATAGTGGTGCCCGCGAGAGTATCGTTTTCGATAGTCTCGCATGGTCTCGTCTCGTTTTCGAGACAAGACTCGAGACGAGACTCGAACAAGACGAGACGAGACTTTTATTGGTCTCGTCCCGAGTCTTGTTCAAGACTTCTCGTGTCTCGTGCGAGAGTCTCGCAGGTAAATATTTCTGCGTGCCGACTGCAGACTTGAGAATTTCATTCATAATACAACATATTCAGAAAGAATTCAGACTATTTAGCACAGATAGACAAAACATTTCATTCATGAATACTTTTAAAACAAAATCCATGATTGTTGTAAAACGATGTAATGAACGTGAAACGAACTATCATCGGACTATTCTCTCTCTTACGCCAGCGGAATATAAAGGAAATTCTGCAATAACGACAGATCGCAAATCGAATTACTACCTGAAAATCTATAAATAAGTCATTCTGTGCTAAATATGCTGAGATAAAGATGTATGATGTGAGTATGTACCTATTAGGTACTTACTTTTCAATAAATAATGTTATTTTTGTTGTAATTTTCTCTTCCTACTCCTACATTATAACTAAAAAGTAGGTGAAGGTAAATATCCCGTACTATATTGGAACAAGATTATGCATGACGAAATTGCGATACATTTGCGAGACTCTCGTACGAGACCCGAGACAAGACGAGACTCGAGGCTGCGAGAAGAGACTCGATACAAGACTTCATATTTAATCGGAGAGACGAGACGAGACTTTATGAAAGTCTCGTCTCGTTGGTCTCGTGTGAATCACTAGTATATCACCATGTATTTGTGAACTTTGCTCGGAATTTTGTGTTGTCCACAATGATTTGTTTCTTTGTTTCTTTATATTGTTTATAGGTTTTATACAAACAAAAAATATTTTACTATTATTATTTTGGGATTTGATTGAAAAACATCAGCATGGTAGGTGTTTGAGCATCTTTGAGTCTTGGACCTGTTATTGTTCATGATTGATAATGCCACAAGAGCGTCATTTATTTTTTTATTTTTTTCAGAACTTGAACAATTCTTCAGTCTACATCAACTCCACTTTAATCGGATTTGCTCAAGTAGCAGTTTTTGGATTGGTGGCAATATTTCTCGGTAAAATAAGCGAAAAAATTACTTTCGGTAAGTGAAAATCATTCTGATATAAGGAAATAGCGTCAGAACAGAAAACATATCTGACGCACTTTCTTGAAAATTTAAGTTGAGGAATGTGTAAGAGATATTCATTTCACAATTCTTGAATACCCAGTATCGATAGTGAAGTGATCCTCTCAAAAATCAACAAGCAGTGACAGATTTCTGACAGGCAGATTGAATAAAATCGTATCGAAACTGAATTAGCGAACAAATAATGTTAATTAACTTAAATGCATGAGAAACTCGGGAGGATTCTTCCATGTATCATTTTTCAACATCAAAATATATTAATTTTATTTGATTGATCCTGATTATCTCTTCTCGTTTCTATGAAATAAAAATACGCGAGTATTATTTCAATATAATGTGTAGTAGGACAAATCAGATCATCTGCTCCAAAATAACACTGTGTTTAACAAATTTTTCTATCAGGGAGCCTAAAATGAAAATCCAATAGCTTGTCAGTGACACTTTATTTGGAAAAACGTTTCAAGAAAAGAAATATGTATGTCAATGATGGAGTTTCAAACTCTAAAAGCACAATTTTCGAAGACAAATATTTTTGCATTTTCATGTTCAAAATTCGATATTTTTTCATATTGTTGATGCTTTGACCTATTGTGATTTTCTCGATAACTATAGTGAATCTAGGACTAGGATCGAGTACCCTGCTTTTCACGTAAAAAAATCGTCGCAGCGCTGAGAATATTTCAGGTCGATAGAACACAACAAACTAATTATCCAAGGCACCAACTTTTCATAATAATCCTGAGTTGCGTTCTCCAAAAACGTCTGATGTGCCATCCACCGTGAATCAGCCTGCATATTATGTCAGATCATGGCCGTTGGCCGGTATAATGATTCGGTTGAGTATTTAGTTTATTATATATTATCAAAAACAGTGATCATTTCCAATTCGAAATCTGAAGGTAGAGTAAAAATACAGGTTGAAAACCACTTCTGGTTTTGAATTCTCCAATAAATTATTTTAGTTGTTACTTCTTAAAGCTTTTTATATTTTGGTCAACTTCGTACATAATTGCAGATGGTGTCAACGACTCCAATAATTATGCATGTTTCTTTTCAGGTATTTTAGCTGTAATATCAGCAATCGCATCAGTTTCCATTTATGCCGGCCAAAATATACCCACACTAATGGCACTATTCGCGGTATCTTTATCAGCCTCAGGAGTTTGTGCCAATATCTCGATGACATTGACCCTAGAATTATTCCCGACGTCTATCAGGTAACTTTTTTTTTTATCTCATTTTGTTCTTCGATCTGTTCTGCGTGTCCAACGTTCATTTCTCACTGGTGCAGCTCAATTTTTTTGGTCGAATCGTCACTGCACTATATTTACGGTAAAAAAAGCTAATGTATTATCCTGTCAATAATAACAAACAGAATTGGAGACGATATAACTATGCAGGGTGTTTAAAAAAACCTGACCCCTTTGCTTGGGTGAGTAGAACACTTCAAAATAGAGTCACTGGATGGTATTAGTTTGATAAGAGTTCGGACACAGCTGAACTTTTGTCCTTTTCTATTTTCTATAATACAATGGTTTGAGTGAATAAAAGAATAAGACATATATTCTGCTCTTTGTCTTTTCAATTCCCCTAGTAGCGCCTGATTGTCAGATACGATTTTAGAGGTTATATTTTCTGTCATATCAATCACAGCCATAGATGGACAATGGGTATAGGGTACAAACACACTTCAATTTATAGTGATACACTTCTAGCAGAACAACTGTTATACAAATGAAAATAATTCATGTATCAACATTTTAATATTAGAAAATATACACATGAAACTGTACCCTAGTGATGAGTATAAAACATGAAGTTATTTATATTAAATCAAAGGTAGGTATTCTCCATATACAGGAAGTATCGCATAAGTACTTTCAAGTGAAGTATTCCTGAGACAATTATAAGAAATAAAGTCTATACAAGCCTGTGTGCGGAAATGCTTCATTTCGGAGATACAGGGTGTTGAAATACAGAGAACAAATTATTTTGACGAGACCTACCATATACTTGGTTTAGTAAAGTTTTCAGCAACTTCACTTAGCGCCCTAGGAGCTAAGTAACATGGATCGATATAGAAAATATCTCCAAAACGATAGCCTCCAGCGTAATTAAGGCCTTCATAATAATTCCCTTCATTCATAATTTTTTCCTGTCCAAACTACCAAATGATTGGACAATCACTGGAGATCCATGAATCAATAGTAGAAAGAGTTTTCTATTAATACGGATCCACTCAGTAATAGTCATACTAGTTTCTTCAAATGTGTGTCAGTTACCTCTCAATTGATTATCTATGTGCTTGGGTAAATCCGACCATTCCAATCAATATTCAGATAACATGATTGTAACATTCCGGCGATATACTCGTAAAAAGTAATTTTACGAAATTCTCCGTAAACTCATGAAGATGCAATAAGTTTCAATAAATTATGTCTCTAGCATTATTTTATGTGAATATAGTCAGGGGCGGATCGCGACAAGCAAAAAACATACGCCTTGTGCTGACGGTCACTTCAATAGTCTACCTGGCTGCCAAATTGTACAACCATCTTCCGGTCAGTCTCAAGAACATCTCCTCTCAAAATCATTTTAGAAAATCTGTGAAGCAAGTTCTTGTTGAGGAGGCACTTTATAATGTTCAAGAATTTCTTAACAAAGATTGGAATAGTTCTTGAAATTGAATTCCATTCATATATTTATTTATTATTTACTTCATATTTACAATTTTACAAATTCATGTTCAAACATGTTTGTCCCATTTTCAGTGTTTTATTTATAGTGAATAAGTATATGTATGAATTTCAATTGTGACATGTAACTGTTGAGTTACTATACCGTTTTTATAATTTTTTATTTTTTTAATTATGTTCAGGCTTTGTCAATGAGATTTATCTTCCTACAATAATGTATATTTTGATTGATTGATTGATTGAAAGTTCAAACGCACCGAGTGCACATTGTGAACATGTTCTTGGCTTTTTGCACATCAACAGAATAGGGATCGACCAATATAGAAATTTTAGCCGATACCGATAATCGGCCGATACCGATATTTCAAATAGGTACCGATATACCGATATATCGGTCTATCGGCCGTTAACAAGTTTTCTCTGAAGCTGGTAATATTTATGATGCGAAACGTATAGCAGGCTAACTCCTGATAGGGCAGGAAGCTTATTGTTTTTGCATCACAACCTACCAAAACTAAATTATCAGTATTAATCAGTAATTTTTGTATTTTAGTAAGGTGAAATAATTTTACCTTACAGTTGCAATCCGCATAGGGTTTTATTTTATTAATTTTCAATTACTAGTCAAAGAATCTAGTTGATTTTACGTAAAATACTTTTTATTGGTGATAAAGATTTATTTTCGATGGAAGTGTATTTTTTTCATTCATTTTTCAAATTGATTTTTTTCCCAATAGAAAAATATATCGGTCTATCGTTCTGTCGGTTTTCGATATCGGCCGATACGATAATCGGCCAATGAGGCCGATATCACCGATAGGCCGATATGAATATCGGTATCGGTCGATCCCTACAACAGACTGATTGAAAAATTGTTAGTACAATATATTGAATATTTTCTCTTCTTTCCAAACTGGAATATTCAAAACAGGTATTGCAATTCTAATGTTGCTCTAGCTTGTTGCCTTGCTGAAGGCACTTCAACAATAAGATGAGAAATAGCAATAACATTAGCAAAACTTGCTTGCCTAAAAAATCCCAGTTTGAGAAACATTTTTGGTACGTTATTTTTTATTGGCAGATTATCTACAGCCGCTTTTTTTATGTCGAGGTGATTTGAATCCTTTATGGACACCATATGGGTCTTATCCCCCATATGATAGTGTGGCACTCCCTTGACACTAGCCAGGGTTTACCCACTAAAAACTCCACCCCGTTTGTAGGCTCGTCTGACCATGTCTCCGACGACACTTACGCCTATGGTGGCCCATTGTATCTTACCTAGTAGTTCTTTATTGTGCCCACTCCATTATCTCTGTACCTTGATCAAGTCTGTACAAATCCTTCACTGGATGTGAGTTGAATACTTCTGGTCCTCCAACTGGTTGCCCAAAGATCTTCTGTCTTCTGCGGTCCAATGCCTAACATCGGCACAGTGTATGTGCTACTGTTTCTGGTTCTTTGCCACATAGTCTGCAGCTTGGGTCGCCATTGTACAGTCCCATTCTGGCGAGATGCTCCTTTACTGGCGCATGGCTAGTCATGAGTCCCGTAACAGTTTTTATCTGTGCTACAGCCGGTTAGTTTTCATGTAAAAAATTCCTAATGTGATTTCGTGAAAAAACGACCCTTTCTTTTTCAATAAAAACGCACGGCACTGTGCAAAATGATGTTCGTCTCTGAAAAACGGATCATATTGATAGTTATTCATAGCAGGATATTTTATGGAATATTCATTGACAAAACGTACGAGTAATGCACTAATGATTGCAGTACAGTCAAGAGTGCTCTGCGACAAATTGAAAGAATAAGATTTTCAAAGAAATACAGAATTTTGTATTGGATCTTTCATTACTTCCGAACATAGAAATAACCGGAATAAATAACGGTCATCAGTTAAAGAAGAATTCGCCAGAAAACTAGGAAAATCTGATTTAGTTGATTGCAATATCAGGTGAATAAAATTGATGGTTTTTATAAAATGTCAACGCGCTTAATGTCATTAGTCTTTTTAGTTTAGTTCTTATTATTTTTCGATATGGTGTTCTCTATAGGGGTGTAGAGCGGCGGTCAATTTTACCTTTAGCGGTTAGAAAATGAATCCAAAAAGGATGAGACATTAATTGAGCGCAGACAAGATATGGCGATGCCCATTTCGGACCATTGTAAATACCAGACAAGATGAATTTTAATGAGCTAAACTAATCGAAAGGTGATTTACCTGATAATAAATTGTAAGGGGCGCCCATTGTTAGATTATTTAGTTCCACAGTAACGTCTAAACTGGAATAATCTAGTAAATAAAGACGGAAAAAAGAAGCGTACGCGGTAAAACACTTTTGCCGTTGAATCAATCCAAAAGAGAACATACCCGAAAATTAAGTTCGGAAGAAACAATGTGGAGATCTATAATTGAATTTTTTTTGTGTAAAGCGGAGAGTATGTATATGGATAACACCTTGTCTAATTGCACAATTTTTCTTTAACAAACTTTTCACTATACAGATCTATTTTAATGGACACCATATTCCGTTTGTTTTCTGTTTGTTGAAAGATAAGCGTGAAGAAACATATCTCTTGCGTCTGTCTAAGATATATGAATCATGTGACAATTGAAATTTAGTGTTTTCATAAGAAAAAGTAGTAGAAGACCTCGAAATTTCAATTCATAACACTGTAACTCATATTTGGACAAATATATATATCGGTTACTGGCTGTCGGTTTCACCTTATAAAGATGACAAGTCAGATGTTGGCAATTGATTGCACTATTGTTTCAGATTTCTCATTTCAGAAGCTAATAAAGTAGATTTTTTTTTTCGAGTTACTTACATGAATTTAAGCCTCAAAATACGAATTCAGAAGAATTTTCAGATTAGGTATCTCTTTGAAAATCAATATTTCCATGTTTGAGGAAGTGCTTCTGCAGATTTGAATAAATCTGAATTTGCAAGTGAATCGTTTCACGCACTGTCAACTTTCGTTGATTCCAAATGGCACTGTATTTTGTTTGATTCAACTTTTTTCTGATCTAGATCGTATTCTGAAAACAGTGATAATTTGGGAAGCATCATTATCTAATTTGGCAGTGAATGTCACTGAAATAAATGTCAGTGTTTCATACAAACCAACAACAAAAAAACGTGCTGTGGTGCAATTTAAAAAAGTCGTTGACAGTCGCAGACGTTACAGTTGAAATTTGAAGAAATAATGATTAGAACCCACAATCGTATTTGATGGTTACTTTCATTTGCTTCTTTGTTTTTCGAAATCGGATACTTAACACTAAGAGAAATAGTCGGTAGTGAATACCAAACGTTTCGTTAAATAGGGGCCAGTCACTACATTCAACAAATAATACCACAAAAAATTTGTTTCATACTATTTTTTTCAATGAATTGTGGCGCTATATGGTTTTGAGCGTTTATTGTCTGTTAGCCAGTATATTTATGAAATATATTGAATTGTTTGAACATTTTCTTTACAAGCAATTTGATACCTACTTGAAAGGATGTTTACTA